ATGTAGGCGGATACCGCCATGAGTGGGCTTGGTACCGTCATGTCCTCGAAGGTTCTGGGGCCAGCCAAACACGGCATTCCCGTGTCAGAGGATGAGGCCATGCAGAGCGTGACCTTCAATCAGGTCCACCGATGCAAGCACACCACCCCATAGCTCAGGTACGGTCGGGTTAAGTGAACTATCCGCGGTAAATGCGAGATTTTGTTCAGGAATGGTGCCCAATGATTTGAAAAACAAGAATGATGGAAAGTTCATGTCCCGACCCTCGACACCTCTGTCCACCGAGAACCGATGAAGGTCTGCTACGGCACCTGCTGTCAGGGTCGTGCATAACATTGTCGATCACTCCGGCATAGCTCTGCGCATGTTTTGAGTAAGTTCGCTCCTATTTGAACTTAAACGGAAGAAACGATGGAGCACCTTCTTTCGAGAGCTGTTCATTCGTTCATTTATGAGACTCAACCAAAGCGTGTGCATACAATATNCCATGCAGAGCGTGACCTTCAATCAGGTCCACCGATGCAAGCACACCACCCCATAGCTCAGGTACGGTCGGGTTAAGTGAACTATCCGCGGTAAATGCGAGATTTTGTTCAGGAATGGTGCCCAATGATTTGAAAAACAAGAATGATGGAAAGTTCATGTCCCGACCCTCGACACCTCTGTCCACCGAGAACCGATGAAGGTCTGCTACGGCACCTGCTGTCAGGGTCGTGCATAACATTGTCGATCACTCCGGCATAGCTCTGCGCATGTTTTGAGTAAGTTCGCTCCTATTTGAACTTAAACGGAAGAAACGATGGAGCACCTTCTTTCGAGAGCTGTTCATTCGTTCATTTATGAGACTCAACCAAAGCGTGTGCATACAATATAGGGAAGGAACGGGGGGACGTGCAGGCAACTATTCCTCGCGATGCATTGCTTGTTGAAGGAGTAGAGAATTTTGACACACGCGCACCGGTACTGCTGTTGCTTTGAGGGTCTCGCATGTTGCAGCGTTAGCCTATAGTGCAAGACAGGAGGGCGGCGCAAGGTGAACCGATAGTGTGCAACTAGCCAACATCTCATGATGCCAAACAACAGCGCCGGGGACAAAGAGTTATTGTCCTTGAAATGTTAACGCCGCTTCGCTGTGGTAATGGCGCTTGAATTTTTTTATCCCCCTGTACATTTTTACAGTGAGGATAGCTGCTGCTGATGTCCTGTTCGTCCTCCTGCTTGCTGTTTCCGGCGCTAATTCCAGGCCATCTACTGTCACCCTTGCTCTGGTGCNCGTTATGGATTGACATCGTTCGAAGGTGCTCGAGCAGTACGTCCTCACGGATATCAAGACGAAGATGGGCACCACAGGCTACACTTCGGTAACAAGAGCGACCCCGACCGCGACGGTATTGCCGTGCCTTCCCTGAGTTCGAGGCTTTTTTCGAAAAGGCGTTTGCTGCGAAGGGCGGCGGCGGTTCAAAAAACTTGGACATCATCAGCGACATGTACGTTGCTTTTGTTTCGATATATGCGCTTTTTTCTATGGGGCTGAGGGTTTCTGTTGTAATTAGCGTATTCTTCGAACCCTGTTTCCCCTTGTGTACTGTCGGCAATTTGTCAGCGCTCATTGGACGTGCAAGCTCTGCTGAACGTCCAACACTCTCGTTTGTTTTGTTCCTGACGCGTTTTCAGTGTGCCCTGGCGTTGCTCTAAGGCAGTCGACGCACTCGTGGTTTGTCGCGAGCTATTTGTGTATGACCCCGTGACGTCAAACCAACTGGCATTCAGNAAGGTGCTCGAGCAGTACGTCCTCACGGATATCAAGACGAAGATGGGCACCACAGGCTACACTTCGGTAACAAGAGCGACCCCGACCGCGACGGTATTGCCGTGCCTTCCCTGAGTTCGAGGCTTTTTTCGAAAAGGCGTTTGCTGCGAAGGGCGGCGGCGGTTCAAAAAACTTGGACATCATCAGCGACATGTACGTTGCTTTTGTTTCGATATATGCGCTTTTTTCTATGGGGCTGAGGGTTTCTGTTGTAATTAGCGTATTCTTCGAACCCTGTTTCCCCTTGTGTACTGTCGGCAATTTTTCAGCGCTCATTGGACGTGCAAGCTCTGCTGAACGTCCAACACTCTCGTTTGTTTTGTTCCTGACGCGTTTTCAGTGTGCCCTGGCGTTGCTCTAAGGCAGTCGACGCACTCGTGGTTTGTCGCGAGCTATTTGTGTATGACCCCGTGACGTCAAACCAACTGGCATTCAGATGGAACGCTCTTTGTTCTTTGTTTCGTGTCTCAGGTTCTAGGAGAGCTTAATACGGTTCGGCTTGGAATACGTTGAGCCGATTCTCTCCACCGGGAGGATTGATCGTCAGGACGGCGCTAAGCGCTACCTCAAGCCGTGCTTCTTCGCGGACGAGGAGGCAGGAGGTGGAGCCGGCGACCCAGGGGCGGATGGGGGGAGAGGATAATCTTAAGATGGAGACGGGGATGTTCTTCGTCTCCGAGCGAGAAAAGCGATGGTCCTGATTACTACGCTGGCTACAAACCCTTGGCGGACACCTGAACCGTGTTGACAAGGTATGTCATGTGTCTTGTCCTTTCCAAAAATCGTGCCTCTCTTTCTGCCTCTTCCTCTCTGCCTGCGATGATATTGGGTGCTTGCGTGTTTCTTGTCGCGCATCCGTTATGCCCGTGGCTCCCCATAATGTACACCCTTCCTCATCCCAGCGTGTCCGTCGGCGACCCCTGATGTTTGAATGTACCTCGCATCCCTTCAATTTCGTTCTGCGGGGGTGCGTAGATTATCCTCGTCTCTGACGTATTCTACGACCTGCGGGTATGCTGTCGGTTGTGCCC